CTGGAGTCAATGTGGTTACTCCTGGCTAATGGATAAGCAGGACGCTGGGAAAATGAATGACACCTCTCGGATTTAAATCCAGGCCCATCTACTCCTAAGCCCACACTCCGTCCACTAAGCTACAACTCTTCCCCTCCAGAAGTTTACAAACTATTAGGGGAAGTAGGATATACATATAAACACCTGTACCCGGGGTCCACAACGTATAGCCAGTAGGCCAAATTCCACCCATCACATGTGTTTGCCCATGAGCCAAGATGGTTTTCACATTCGTAAATGGTTGGGAGAAAAAAATCAGGAGAAGAAGAATACTTTGTGGCATGTAAAAAGTATATGAAATTCAAGCTTCGGTGTTCGAAGTTTTATTGGAACCCAGCTACACCCATTCCTTACCGTTCTCTCAGGCTGCCTTCGGGGCTACAACTGCACGACTGAGTGGTTGTGGCAGAGACTGTATGGGCCGCAGAGCCCAAAATATTTACTCTCTGGTCCTTCCAGAAAAGGTTTGCCGACTCCTCCTCTATACTCCAAGGTGAAATGTTACATATCAACAGGAGAGGCTTGTAAAAAGCGTTCTGGGACTTAAGAAGAGGGGAAACTAACATTTAACCCACGGTGGGAGGTGTCGGAAGGATCTACAGGTGTGCTGTGTTTTTAAGACTCAACACATGAAAACCCAGCATTTAAAACAGATAAGGTAAAAGCAGTTATTTGCATAACAAATTTTCCTTTTCATTTTGTAAAGGGATTCACCATGGGGTTGCTTTATAGAGTGAGCCTCTATAATGCATGCTAATATGATTCCACTTACAAATACTCTATTCCTAATAACTTTCCGAGAACATATCTATTGTGTACCGTGAGGCTTAGCTATAATCTTTTTTTTTTTTTTTTTCCTGGTAGTGTAAGGTTTCTTACTGCTGAAAAGTAATGGAGCTGACCTTGCCAATTCAGCGGGGAGGGTAAGCGTTCTGCGTTACCTTCTCATTGTCTCCAAGAGGGGCTTTGCCTGACAAATAGGAGAAATGCCGTGGGTTCCAAGTCTCTGCATTATGTGAAATTAACCGGCCGGGAGAATTTTACGTTTTTAGCCAACCTCCTCTTGGTAACTGCAGTTAAAGTCCTCACATGTAAACTCATCACTATTCTATCGCTTCATTTCATACACAAGATGCAAATTAATAAAAATCACAATATTTATAAGGAGCAATGTTTCTCTCTTAAAAAAAAAAAAGAACACATTAGCTTAACTGAATTACAAGTGCAAGTCATATCATATTTAAATTAGAGTTCTCCCCCAACAAAATAGGAAGTGGTGTTGCCAGTTCAGTATAGGACCCAGTTCCTTCTTTCTTCGGGTCCTGAGCCTGAATCTTCCAGCAGCTTTGCGGTGTTATGCAATTGCTCTTTTCAAGAGATGCATAAAACGGAAGCCGCGGCTATTCATAGCCAACTTAGGAGGAGCTGAAATCTTTCAAGAAGTTTCTTGCCTGGTACCATCTCGACAGTAACTACGTGTTTCTGAACACATCCAATTAATCTGGATTTCACAGGGCGGCTCTTTTAAAGAGCCGTCTTGTGGCTTTTGTTTTCATCCTCTGTGGTGACTCTATCTTAGAAGTGGACATACATTCCTGGTATCTAAGCCTGAATGTTTTTCGGGTGTTTTGGTGGTAAAAGAAGCCTAAATGGAAATGCAAGGGCAGAGAAAATCATGCGTGGGGAAGTCCTGTGCCGCCAAATGGCGTAGATCTGTGTCGCGGGGCTGCTAATGGATATTGTGCGCAATCCATAAAGGGGCAAAGTGAGAGAGACACAGAGGGAGGGTGAGAGGCAGAGCCAGCATTAAGGGCAGGAGCCCTGCATGGTTCTGAGGCAGGATTCCTGGGCAAACGGCGTCGTCAACGGGCTTGCGGTGGGCGGGGGAAGCTGATGGAGGTGGCTTGACTGCCTCCGGAAACTGTCACCTCAAGTTCACATTCTCCAGCAGGTAGCTTTGCAGCCATTTCTGAAGCTCAGCGCTGGAAGGAAACGCACATTTAATCTGTCTGTGAGGTTCTTTAAAGAGATGTCTCTCTCTTCATCTCCCCCTGAGGTCAGGAGCACGGTAACTGCACACAGTAGCTAGAAGGCTCCATTGTGTTCTTGAATTCCTGAGGTGGCCAGCATCAATCGATGCATCATGGAAGGTACTGACTATAAAACAAATGGACAAACACTGAGCAAAATATGGTAGTTCAGTGTTCTTCTTCCCTGGTGGTAATTCGAAAGTTTTCGAAGTTAATACTAATGGGTACAGACAAATGGGATAGAAATTTCCATGCATTTTTATGACCAAACAGAAGCCCAAGCCCTGGGGGTGGGGGGGTGGGGGGTGGCCCTGCTGTTAGGGAAGCAGGGAGCAGTAAATGCAAGGGGAGAAATTGCAAAACGCCGTGATTTCAACGAGACTAGAACACTCCCCCACTCCCCCCTGAACGTCTCCCTCCTACCAAAGAGCATCTGAACAGATTTCATTTCACAAATGGAAATGGGACGCAAACAAATTTTTTCAAAGTGATCTCATTAAGAGTGGGCCTGGTTTCATTGGGTTTTCAGAGCCAGGATTAATATTATAAGCTGGAGAGTTCTGTTATGGGCCCCGGGGGGAAGGCAGAGAGAGAGCTGGTGCTTCAGGAGCAACGCAGCCTCACCTCCTCACGGAAGTTACGCACGGCCAGCCTGGTCCAAGCGCCCAGGCCGGATCCGAGTTCCATGTAACATAGGAAAGATCTTCCCAAGCTCAAGGTCATATCTAGAGCATGCCTTGGATATTTTTTGCATCCCTAATTTATGTGACTTTCTAATATGTTTAGCATTTGCCCTCCCCTTGTCTCCATCCTGCTTATTAAGGTAAATTTGCATAGAAATGGGATCTTGGATTTCAGGACCATTCACCTGACACTTGATCTCCTGAGGTGACCAGTATCTGTGTCAATACCATGAGGGTGACCCACAGACACCACATCTCCCTGCAAACTCAAAGCAAGGCCTTAATTAGGGGAGGCTTTTCATGTTAAAGCCACGGGGTGAAGCAAATCAGCAAAAGCATTTAGCACTCACTAAGGAGGGCAGAATACTCCTTCCTGTTGAGTGGGCCATCCTAGGTCACAATTTTAATTTGCCTTAGATGGACAGATCCTGAAGAAAGGATACAAAAAGTATATATCTTTGTGTGGGGGGGGGGGGGGATAAATTTTGGCACACAGTTAACTATGACATTTTGCTTGGGCTCCTGAAATATTTTTTTGCCCAATAGCTATCTTTCAGATGGGTAATCGTCATCTCTACAAATTACCTTTGGAAGACCAAACAAATGTGGAAAGTCAGAGAAACGGGTCACTTGGCTGCCATCACCGTGGCAGTGGCTTTAATCCCCTGATCTCTGCATGCCGCACCCTCCCCACCGGGCAGCCACCTTCCTTAGTCACCTAAATCTTGTCACTTCGGTGGAAATTCCCACAGAGAGGGTGATTGTGGTCCTGGTTTACTGGTCACTGAAAGTCATTAGGTGTGAGTTCACTGACGTAAAGGGGTTCAGACTTTGGCACATTCTGACAAACGTAAATGCCAAACAAAAGCTTCCAAGACTGTCCCAACAGCGAACTGTCTTAGCACAGAAACAAAGGACGTGCAGGTCTTGGAGAATAGGCATCAAATTCCAAAGAGGAAAGTTCATGAAAGATGGGAGAAATCAGAAGAAAACTCTTCTGTCTTTTCTGTTTTTGAGCTCTTTTTGGCCAGGCTCCCTTGCTGAGGATAAATTCATTCAAATACAATTATTTTAAAGACAGAAAGACTACCTAGTTTTATCTCGTGCAACATTTTGCGTCTATTGTTTAATTTTTTTTTTTTAATTTTTTTTCATGGTTATTTATTTTTGACAGAGAGAGAGTGCGAACGGGGGAGAGGCAGAGAGAGAGGGAGACACAGAATCAGAAGTAGGCTCCAGGCTCCGAGCTGTCTGCACGGAGCCCGATGCGGGGCTCAAACTCATGAACTGTGAGATCATGACCTGAGACGAAGTCGGACGCTTAATCGACTGAGCCACCCAGGCACCCCGCGTCTATTGTTGAATTTAATCTCACATCCTTATTAGTTGAATATTATGATCTCCACTTTACAGATAAGGAAACTGAGACTCCAAGAGGTTTAGTTATTACACAAGAACATACAGCTATTCACCAACAAAACCAGGACTCTGCTCTATGACATCCCCCTGTCTCCTAAAACAACAACAACTGTATTTCATTTGTAGGCTAACTTTCTTATTTTACACAGGCCTTGCGTATTACTGGGGGTGGGGGCATTTTAACTCAATTCAGAGGTATTATAATGGTATCTTTCAAAATGTGCTTGGCTTACACTATAATAATGCAATAAGGAATCTGACTAATCGAGTCCCCTGACTCTAAAGCCAGAATGTTTTCCACTCTCAAGCCATGTAGAAGGATGCTAAGTTCCCCACTGGCCGATGCTGCCTAATTCTCTTAAATGATTCAGATGTAAAAGAGAAAATGGCATCTGTCTAATTAACACCGCCCGGTTAAATATAGCTGCCAAGGGACAGCCTCAGGACGATGTTTACAGAACAGTCTTTCCAGCCCCTCGGGCCCCAAGTTAGAGATGATAGTGAATCTTCAATCCTTATCAACCAGAAGCAGAGATGCCCCAGAGATGGTGACAGGCCGGGCAGGCAAAGGGAGGCGAAAGGGGAAAGGCGCTGCTGGCCTTCATTTCCCGCTCCTGGAGCTTGGGGATTCAGGGAACGACGGGAAGCAGATCCCACAGGCTCCCTCCCGCAGCAAGTCCACAAAAACAAAAGCCCTCCCTGCGAACCTGGGTCTTCCTCTCAGGCCCGGAGACCTTTGGCCGAGCACCTGCTAGGACTGCTAGGTGCCCGCTGCTCTGAGCCCTTCCCTGGACAGAAAGGCACAATAAACACATTACCTCTCTTCCAGCTTCACGTCACAACATGGAAGCCGTTGCCAAGTTTGACTTCACCGCCTCCGGCGAGGATGAGCTGAGCTTTCACACCGGAGATGTTCTGAAGGTAGGTGACGTGGGGCCCCGGGGAGCCGCGGGGGAGTTTGGGTTACTCTGGTCTGGTCACCGTGTTCATCGAACAACCCATGGCTTTGTTTCTTTTCTTTTTTAAGTTTATTTATTTATTTTGAGGGAGAGAGAGAGAGAGAGAACGAGTGGATGAGGGGCAGAGAGAAAAGGAGAGAGAGAGAATCCCAAGCAGGCTCCACACTGACAGTGCAGAGCCGGATGTGGGGCTCAAACTCACAAAATGTGAGATCGTGACCTGAGCTGAAATCAAGAGTCAGATGCTTAACCCACTGAGCCATCCAGGTGCTCCCCCCATGCCTTTGTTTCTTCAGAACTGCATGCGGTTTCTTTCAAAAAAGAGAAATTCACCCCAATCAAAAGGGTTCCTTCTGAGCTCCCGGGTGCCAGTTACCAGGGTACACGATGGAAATAAGTCACCATCCTTGTCCTGTGATACTTGTGGTCTGGAGAGGGAAAGAAATCCATCCAAAGGGCTCTTACAGATGTTCTCGTCTAAGTGCTCAGGGAGCACAGGTGAGGGAACAAGGGATCCCACTCGAGAGATGGGGTGGCAGGAAGCTGCAGCAACACCTGTGGCCGGGGAATGCAGGGAACGTGGCTGGACGTTTACCGGAAGCTCAGATGTAAGCAAGCCCTTGTGGCTTCAGTGAGCACTGTGAGGTTCAGTGTCACCAAAACTCAACCGAGGATGCAGGCTGAAGACAGCCGGGAAAAGATGACTGGAACAGACGTGGGCCAATGGAGGCCATGCACACCCCGGCCGCTCGGGGACGCCTTAAAACCTGCCTAACACCCACATTTGAGGTGTTGTGGCTACGTGCAGAGACAAAGTGGCCTTGGACTTCCACATTCCATGCATCACACTTGCGGGCTTCACATCTTAACCCCGATTTTGAGCAAAACCAGAAGCCCTTCTGCAGGCCATTTGGGGAGTCTGTGACGCTAATGCCCACCCCCCCACCGGCCTGGCCACAGAGCACCCTCAGAAATCCTGATTCCTACTCCTCAGCAGCCGACATGGGACTTCTCAGCCTGCACAGCAACACTGAGGCCACCAGTGTTTCACCCCTAAGAAGTATATTTGCCGTAGTGAGAGCCTTGTCAGTACGTGACAGGGTGACTCAGAAAGTCACTTGGTTTGGGACTTGAACACCCCCAGTATTCGTCCTTCTAACCGCTCTCACCTTGCAGGCTCTAGTAATATAGTTGTGAAGGGTGTGCCTTCAATGCTGGAGCTTCTCAAGGTCAAAACGTCACCTGGGCCGCCCACCCAGGGAGAGGCGGCCTTCACTTCTGTGGGATCTTACCAAGGTCACAGAGGCATCTGCCACATGGTGAGCAGTCCCTCCCTTCTCTCTGGGATATTGTGACCATGTGATTATCAACCGCTATACAGGGTCCTCGCTCAAAAGAGGCCAACGGGCCAACTCCCACCCCTCATCTCCCATTGCGAACAGAACCCAATATCTTGCTCAAGAGTTTCCTATTCCTCAGAAAAGCAGAAAGAAAAAAACGTTCCTCAACTCTGCTTCTCAGTCCACCTCCTGATTTCTTTCTTCTCCTTGGCTCCCAACACCAGGAAGAGTTCCCTGTGCTGGTGCCTCTACTTCCTCACCTCCCACTGAGTCTGCTGGAACTTTCTAGAAACTGCCTCTTACCCTCAACACTCCCTTCAAGTCCACCCGTGATCTCCTTAATGTATCATAGCATGACACTACTACAGCGCCTGTAGAAGGTGACACCGTTAGCTGTCCCTCTTCTGCATCTGACTGGAGCTCTGCCTCGCTCCTCAACATTACTCTGTCCTGAATATTCTTCTTGAGATCTCTCAAGCAATCCCCCGTCTCACGAGAGAGGAGTCTGATGAAGTAAAAAGGAGCAGGAGTTTAGAGCCAGAGAAGTTGGGAGTTTGAATCCCAGTTGACTAGCTGTATGGCCCTGGATCCGTCCCCTGCCCCTCTGAGCTTCACTGTCCTTCATCTGCAAGCGGGGACCGTAACTATTTTGCAGGGTTTGGGGAAGGATTAGAGGTAATGGCCCCACCTCAAAGTGGATGTTCCGTGAATGGTTGCCGTATTCCAGTATTGCCCATTCCTGCCACCGTTCAGACCATCGCCACAGCCCCTTGACTGACTTCATCACCTCCTGTCTCTTACTCCTTCAATCATTCTACGTACTAGTCTTCGGAGGATCTTTCTGGGAAAAAAATCAGGTCGGATCACCTCCTTGCTCAAAAACATTCAGCGGTTCCCCATTACCAGTCGATAGAAAGTTAAGCCACCTGGCCCCAACCCGCTCCCCAACCTCCCCAAGCTCTCGTCCATGAACACGCACACATACATACACGCACGCGCACATACACACACCCTTGTGTATGTAATGCCCGGGTCACGCTGCAATATATACACCGAGTTTCTCGCACTCTCCCCGTACTCCAAATGCCTTTCTCCTCCACAGGCATATTTGACTACCTCTGCCTCGGAACCCTCACTAATCCTCCACACCCCCTATGGCCCCAGCAAAATGAGTCACTCCCTCTTTAGCTCTTCCACGGCATGGCAACACACGTCATTCAAGGTGCTGCTGATCTCCCCTCCCGAGACGGTTATTTATGAGCAGCCAAACCCCTGTGCTCTTGCGCACACTACACCCACCTCCCATCACTGCCCTTACCCTGTGGGATCCTGACCGCCCGTGCATGTGTTGGCTATTCCACTCGCCAAAGCTCTGTGAGGGCAGGGGCCAGGTCTGCCTCGGTGTCCAAAACAGCAGAAAGGTGACCCTCCCTAATATTTGATGAATGAATGAGTGGTGGTTTCCTCCATCTAGGAGCTTCCTGAGAGCAGAGCCAAGCCGGTTCATCTTTGTGTCTTCCCAGCAGCGCCCCCACGCAAGTCACAGCCCCAAATAGGTGCTCAGCGCAAATTGCATGAATTGTTAAATTGCATTTCTGCACGCTCGTGTAGAATTCCATCAGAAGGGCAAACCTGTCCTTTTCAAATTCTGTCCCTTGCAGCTGTGCTGATGGAAAGAAAAGTGGAGAGGGGCTTGTTGGCCGAACCCCACAGCATGTCTCTATCATGGCGGTCAGTAGCCCTGCCCGTGGGTCTCTATGTATGACTGCAACATCTGCCCCTCCGCTCCAGAGATGGGTAAAAAGCCCCAAGATCTTGCAATTGCTTTCCAAAGCAGCTCTTGACCGCCCCAGCAATTTACTCCTGGGATGCTCTTTCATCCTAGACTTTTCGTGCTAAAAGACCAAACAGACTTTTTCACTAAAAGGTACAAACAATGTCTGACGAGCTTACCACCAGCTAACCCCCTCTAGACTGTGAGTTCCCCAGGACACAGGCCTCAGCTTCTTCATCTCTGTATTCCCAGCACCTAAGCGCAAACAGCAGGTGCTCACTAGATGCCGATCAAAGGACCATGAACAAGATGATGGACGGGGAACTCTGGCCGAATGGCTCGATCCAGCTTCTCCTGTGACGGAAACGTTAGGAGTCAGATAATTTTATGTTCATGCCTCAACCCCTTGGACCTGCAGCTCTGTGCAGCCCCAGACTTAACATTTTCCCTCTTAAATCTGCCGCTGTTTAAAAAAAAAAAAAAAAAAAAAAAAAACGACCCAGTCCATTTCCACCCGCTTCTGTACTGTGTCTAACTCAACCCTGTTTCTTCCTACTAAAACAGTGACCTGAAAGCATGAAGAGTTAATCCTATGTAATTAACTGCAATACTTCAGATTTCTGCTATGCCTCTAAGAGCTGTAATTCCATCCAATTTTAAAATTCTCCCAACTGTACATTTTGTCCTCTTCCCACGTCTAACTTATTCTCAGGCCATGTGACCCAGAAAATTATTCTCGTAGGCAACATTATACGAATTAACATACAGTAAAGTGAAGTGTAAAACCTCATGTGTTCAGGCTGAACCCCTTGCTCGAGTTTTCATGATGGGGACAAGAGATAGGGGGAACCGAACAGACAGAGAGATGAGAAGAACAGGAAGTATGGGGCCCTGAGCCAACAACGGTGGAAGGAAACCACCTCCCCCCAAACACTCCTCTTTGCAGAAAATGAGATTCTTTTAAAACCTTGCCTTCTATACGCCATAAAAAGCCTGTAAATTCACCTCTCTGGGAACACGATCTTAGGCAGACGGAGCACCAGGTGGTGGGGAGAAATGGCCGCCATTGTGGGATAATCTTTCAGTTGCTACAGGAGGTAGATGGGTGTGAGCCACAATGACTAAAATTACAGCTGGTTTCAGGTCAGAGAACTAAGTACATAGTTGGTTCTTACCGTGATGAGCCAATTTCCACATGGCCTCTTTTACCTTATCCCCGCTCACCTTCGTATTTGACATGTGCTACCCAGCCCAAACATCGCACTCCCGTGTGATGGGAGAAAGGAACTCCAAAGCCATACGTTGAGGGGTGAAGGCATGGAGTGAAATGTCCTTGTGTTCTCTGTGTGAATCCCGGGCACCGGTGCCGGGTTTCCGAGTGCTTTTTTTGACCTAGATTTTTCTGCTCCCCCCACTCCGCCCCCTCTCGGCATACACATACCCACGAGTCCTTAGTGACACCAGCAGTCATATTTGATGATAGAAACTATAAAGTTTTCTGTCCTCAGCAATTCTAGAACTCAAATATGAGACACACTTTTATTTCTTCAGAACAGGTGATTAAATTCAAAACATACACATATAACGCTTTAAAGAACTTATAAACCCTACTATGTCCTTCGGAGCTGGAGGTCTCCCTCCCAAGAATACCACATTTTGCAGAACTGTGTTTTAAAAATTTTTTAATGTTTATTTACTTTTGAGAAAGAGAGAGACAGAGGGAGGGAGGGGCAGAGAGAGAGGGAGACGCAGAATCTGAAGCAGGCTCCAGGCTCTGAGCTGTCAGCAGAGTCTGCTGCAGGGCTCGAACCCACGAACCACGAGATCACGAGATCACGACCTGAGGCGAGGTCAGACGCTTAACCCACTGAGCCACCCAGGCGCCCCTTTCAGTATGCACTTTCTGAAGGACTTCGAGGTACCAGAGCTCATCTGATCCTCACATCAGCTCGGGAGATGCTAGCTGGTTGTCACTGTCCCCATTTATCAGATGGCTAATTGACCTGCGGAAAGTCACACAGCGAGTGACAGGGCCAAGCTGGAAACCAAGCCTTCTCAATTCCAAACGCGGAGGGCCGGCCCCTTTCTTCCACCCCGGGGGTGATACTCGAAATGTCAGTTACTTCGCTGTCTTCATCTCTGCTCCTCTCTGGGACAGAGAAACCCGTGGGACCGAGACTTCAACTCCACCTGCCATAGGACGACTCTGAAATCCCCAATACCAGCCCCAACCTCTCTGCCCAGCCCAGACACACATCTCCAACGGCTCACTGAGCTTTTCTCCTCAGACTCAGGGGGCAGCTTGGATTCACCCACATGCACCCACATGCAATCTGAAGCCCATGGGTTTTGCCTCAGACCTGCTTCTCCTCATGTATTAGCAAAGCCATCACCACCCACTCGGTCTCCCAAGGGCGAAATCCGGAGCCCTCCCCGAGTCCGCTTCTCCCTTGGTTCCAAGAACAGTCGCGAAATCCCACACACTTTGCTTCCAGGTTCCTCTAAAATACCTCTTCGCCCCTCGCTGGGATGGCTGCACTCCCTTCCCGGACTTTCCCCCGCCCAATCCGTCTTCACTTTCTGATGCAGGGCTCTTTCTTGGCTCTAATTCTGGCTGTGTTATGTCCCTGCTCAGAATCCTTTAGTGGTTCCCCATAAATTTCAAGATGGAAGCCCAGACTTTCCAACATGGGCTACAAGGGCCTGTACCTCTGGTATCCCCTCGGCCCCTGGGGCCACAATCTAACCTCCCTCCGAACGGAAGCCTTTCATTCCCAGAATGCACCTCACTTCCTCTCATCCCAGAAGTTCCTGCGCCGTCTGACTTTGCCTGGGTAACTCCTTCCGTTGCCTGGGCAACCCCAGGGCCTCTCCTCCAGGCAGTCTTTCCTGCCCACCTTCTGCTTTCTCCTTTAGTGTAGCATGTCTATCAGTTACGGAGTCTTCAGCTACAAGAAACAGAAACTTAAATGCGGCTTAAACAATAATGCAAATTTATTACTTCTCATACAAAGTCCCGAAGCAGGAGGGCTCCAGCCTGGCTAATTCAGTGGCTCAATGACACCGTTAAGCTTCTTTTCATTTTTTTGCTCTGCCGTCTTCATTATTGTTCAAGTCCATGCCACCTGCTTTAGAAACATTCTCAGTGGGGGATGGGGGCAAATATTTGTCTTTTAATAGCGAAACTACTATTTTCTGAAATAACCAGAAGCCACATAGAGCCAAGTGGTGAGTCATATGAGTAATCAAGGGAAGTGATAGCATTTGGGGTCACAGTCAAAGAAGGACCATACAGTAATGAGACCGAACTTCTGGTTTTGCTTGTGATCTGGCTCTAAAAGCAAGTTTAGAAAAGGCATCCCAAACATCTTGAGTTACGTCCAAATTGTTTGTGAAGCACATGGAGTGTGAACACAGAGAGTTACTGTTTTCAAAGCTGGCCCCACTGGATGTTTAAGTTTTAATTTGCTTGTTGAAAAAAAAAAAGGAACAAATTAAATTTTTAAAAGGTTCCTGGTTACCTAGCAGAGAAGGAAAAAAACCATGGAGTGGCCGCTCTTGCCTTCCCAACACCTGCTCACATGAGGAGCTTCAGATGCTGAGATCTGGGACACATGAGTTTCCAACATATAAAGAGAAAGGATTGCAGAGAGGCCCCTGAATGCTGAGTCTGGGAGGTCACACCATGGTGGCGTCCCATGTGTGGATGGCACTAGGGGACAGAAATTAGCTCGGGGTCAAGGAAGCCAAACTCTAGAGACAAACCTGTTGCTCTCCCACTGGAGCACCTGTGTTGTCTCTCTGGCTTTCCCTCTAAATCCGAAAGGGTGTTCTTTGCCCCACAGCCCCTTTCTTCTGCCTCTTGGCGTCCTCCCTACAATCTCTGTCCTTCCTTCCTTCTCTTCCATGTAGATCTTAAGTAACCAAGAGGAGTGGTTCAAGGCGGAGCTTGGGAGCCAAGAAGGATATGTGCCCAAGAATTTTATAGACATCCAGTTTCCTGAGTAAGTATTTCCAGCCTGCTGACACGGGCCTACCCACTCACACTCCCCTTACTTTTTCAGCAGTCACTAAAATTATCCATCCATACCCAAGACACTGTCAAAACCGGCTGCCTCTGGAGAGGGAATCACAAAGCTGAAGGCCAGGGTGGGAGGGAGATTTGCATTTCACTGCATTCCCTTTTGAATTTTATACCATGTGCATGTATCGCCTATTTTAGGTTTATAAGCTAAACTCATCTATAACCGCAATCACAGGGTTTCCACAAATTCCACCGGGGGCGCTGTTGGCCACCCGTGTCAGAAGCTGCCTCTTCAGAGCGAGTCTTTTCTCCCAACCTCTTCCACCCTCACTAGGGACCCCACACAGCTCCCTGCCTTCCCTAAACCGTGCTCAAACCAGTGAGAACAATCAGAGTGGGGGGAAGAGGAAATTCCCTTCCTAAGGAGGAAACAGAAAAATTGAGATTGGGTCTCGTTTGTCTCAAGAATTGACCACAAAAGTTAGATAGAAATCTAATCTGGTCCGCGAGTCACAGTCTAGCCCAAAGAGCAGAGGTCTGTTAGAAACCCCAAGCGGTGTTGGCGACCCTGTGAACCAGGACTGACCACTGAACCGACAGAATGACCACTGACCTCAGCACTTGATGTTGCCCTGTAATCTCAATGACCGCCTCACACCTTCTCGCTCCTCAAGCCTCCAGCCCCTCCCCCACGGCACTGTTGACTCAGGGCCTTCCTTCCAGGGTCACTGGGACGATCAAGCCACCGGAAAAGCCCCTCTTGCCCATCCCCCCACCTGACTCACTGCATCCACCTACCTCCTGCAACTTACTGGGACACTGCCTTTCCTGCAGCCATTTGGGAAGAATCGTCTGTGCCTCTGGCAGAAACTCTCCCCTCTCTCTCTGTCTCACATCAATTCTCTCTTCCTCTCTGCTGGGTCACTCCCATCCACAAAGATGCTGCAATGTCTCCCGTCTAACAAAAACAAAACAAAACAAAGCATTCTTGATCCCAAGTCCCCTTCCAGCTACCACTCCCCTTCTTCAAAAGAATTGTGTGCACTCTTATCTCTAACTTCTCTCCTCCTACTGAAACCTTTTTATCAAGGTCACAGTGAACAACTGGGTCCACTGGTGGGTCCCACTGTCTCAGCATGGTAGAACATAAGTTCCGTGGCAGCAAGGGTTCTTGTCCACCTTGCTCACCACTGTATCCCGAGTGCCCAGAAGCAGGTCAGCGCATAGTAGATATCTGATGAAAACTGTTGAATGAACAAGTGAATAGCTTTGGAATGATGCGTAATAACGTAACCCTGCCCACTCATTTAACATATAGCGTGTGGACGTTTTTTGCAAGTCTTGAAGTCACGTGTCAAACTCCCATCAGAGGATAAGTGTGTACTTTCTTTTTTTTTATTTAAAAAAAATTTTTTTTTCAACGTTTATTTATTTTTGGGACAGAGAGAGACAGAGCATGAACGGGGGAGGGGCAGAGAGAGAGGGAGACACAGAATCGGAAACAGGCTCCAGGCTCTGAGCCATCAGCCCAGAGCCTGACGCGGGGCTTGAACTCACGGACCGCGAGATCATGACCTGGCTGAAGTCGGACGCTTAACCGACTGCGCCACCCAGGCGCCCCAAGTGTGTACTTTGTAAACGATCTCCTAACTGCTGGCCGCCTCTTCCAAAATATTTCCATTGAGGTATGGCTGCTGAGGAGCGTGGCCCATTCCTCTGCCCGGCCCCATTACATTTCCTGAACAAGGCAAAAGCTGTGGTGGGCAGTCCCTTGTTCAGCCCTGCAGCAAAGCACGACAGGTATCCTGGCAGGATCTCTAGGCAGGTGACCACCAGAAACCCTCGCTTCCAGAGGAAGAAAGCCCAAAGAAACTTCGCCTGCAGCACCAGGTCTGGAATAAGGTGCTCCTGTCTGGAGTCTAAGTTCCTAAATTCCAGAGAGCGTAGAGAATTGCTCACAAAGGAATCCAAAGAGTGTGGGACATTCACCTTAGGGGGACGCACATACTAGCCTTCCAGGGGCAACAATGGAGCAGCCGCCTTGAGGAAATGGGGCCAGTCCCTCTTAGGGCCGCTGAGTGATCGCAAACACTCATTTCGCTCTTGTGTGGTTGAGAGGTTTCTGGCCACGTGCCCTGAGGCTGCAGCTACTGTTTGCCTTGCCTCTATGGCAGCTCTTGGCCTTCACACGCGCTCTGCCACCTGCCGCGACACTTAGAGGCTGCCTGCCACCCTGACTGTTCCCCTGAAAGTGTAGTTTCTCCCCTGTTTCTTCTTTTCCACCATAAAGATTATTTTCCTGGATTTGGGGGAGGGCCCCGGAGCTGGCTGTGTAGACGCTGCTCTCTGGTCGCTGCTAGCCTTGCTCCATGCCACCCGGATCATGAGGGCCCCTGGGCTCTCAGGGGGGCCACTGAGCTCTCAGCCTGGGGGAGAGCCCACGGCTCCCCAGCTCCGGTCCCCCAGTGCCTGAAGGGGCTCCTGTCTTGCTGGCACATCATCTGTCCCTGCAGCGCTCTTTCCTAGTGACATCCCTCACATAGCTGCCAGCAGGCGGCCGCTTCCCGCAGCGAGTCACTCCCACACTGTCCCATTTTGGTGCAGTGGCACATTTCCATGATTCAGGTTTTCCAAGCGAGAGAGAGGGAAGGAACAAAGGGGGTGCATCAGGGGAACACTCACTTGCCTCGCCTGCAAACCGCCTAGAGCACGTGTTTGGTTTTAGAGGCCCCGGCCCCCCCCTTCGGCCTCTTTCTGCTCTCTACTGACCAGAGTCCCCAGCCTCTGTCCCTTTGGCTCATCTCTTCTCCCCTTCCCCTCCATCGCTCTGGCAACTCACCAAGATCCTCTGGTTTTATCTCATCTAATAGATGGTTTCACGAAGGCCTCTCCCGACACCAGGCAGAGAACTTACTGATGGGCAAGGAGGTTGGTTTCTTCATCATCCGGGCCAGCCAGAGCTCCCCAGGGGACTTCTCCATATCCGTCAGGTACTGGCCACCCCCAACCCAGACTGCTAAGGCCGTGAGGTGACCTCTTAAATGTGACCTATTTATTGCTCAGGAGCATGGTGGCCAAGGGGCCCAGGCATCTTATCAACTGGGATGCCGTCCATTTCCTTCCCATGACACATGTGTATAACTCTTCAGTACGCTGGTTTGTGGCCAAATTATGTAGATGTTCATCTGCTTCCCCTTCCAGCCCAAGTGCTTCTGGAAGGAGCACTTTTATTCTGGAAGGACAAGATTTTATTCTATTTCAGCTTTGTGCCTTTAACAGTGCCTTGCACCCAGTAGGTGTTCAATGAGTATTTGTGCAAGGAAGCGGGGCAGGAGAAGGAAGGGAGAATTCCCAGTTGTCCACATCTGTCTTGAGGTTTAAATCTGAACCTTTTCTTTAACTACTGACATACGTCGGAAGAAGGCTCCGAGGACAATTAAAATCCCAAGTCACTGCTGTAGGGGACAGAGGTAGTTGGACGTGGTGGCACAGAAAGAAGGGCTACGTCAACACACTGTAACGCAGCAAGCTGACAGCGGCAGATGGGAGCCGAGGAGGGCTGGGGTGAGGGACGGTAGCAGCAAAATCTCACTCGTGTGCATGCCCGGGAGGAAGTGAGTCAGTCCAGGCATAAACATGACACAGCCCCACACTCAGAAACCCCAAGTCTGAGCACACTGCGTGTGGTCAGCCTGTCTGGAATCGCGAGTCCCATATCAGGCGTGGTGGCCACATGTGAAAGTGCATAAATTAACACTGATTTCCATGCAGGAGGAGACGTGTGTGGTGGGACCGCCTGTCAAGTTCATTGACAGGAAATGTTGGTTCAGATTGTTCAATACGCTTTGAAAGGCATACAGCTTTAGTGCTTTAAGCGCATAAATCCAATCTCAGGTAATGAACTGAGGCCACTTTACTCTTTAGAAAGAATGGATATTTTAAGGAATAGGTAGGAAGGACTTACAAATAATGGGTCAACCATTCATATGCACGTATGCCTCTAAAGTGCTCAAAAATAGCTTGGTCTCATTAGCTTTGCCCTTGCAATCTTACTTAAACTCTTAATTTTCCTTAACTAAAACTTTTTTTTTTTTTTTTCACAGCTTAGGCAGTAGTAAATTTTAGCTCAGGCCTACACTGATGTATCACAGATTCTAAATTTGTCAGGTTTTAATGCAATTTTGCTCTATTGATAAATCCTACAACCAAATCTCTTTCTTAAGGGCCCTGATTACAGACTGGACCCCGGAAATGGTTACATTGAAGGGCATCTCTTGGTGCCTTTGGTTTGCATGAAGTGGACTGTGGCTTTTCAGCTAGAAATTATGGTTTATATTTCCTCCACTAAGGTGAATTCTCCAAAACGGTCAGCCTTGACTTCTGCCAGTGCAGCTCCTTGTGAATATCGCCATAATCATGATTATATCTCTTGCAGAAATGTGGCATAATATATTCCAAAGCAAATCATTTTCATTTATTCATACATCTGCTTTCTGTCATGCAAAGATAATTAAGAGCTAATTGTAGTCCTATCACTTAGCATTTGTTAAGGGTCTGAAACACTAGGTTTTAGAGTCTGGAGCCCTGAGTAACATCCTTTTCTCGGCCCCTCTCTGAACTTGACACATTGGTGCAGCCACTCTCTCTCCATGGGTGCACATGACCAGCTGCAAGCCTGACATCCAGTCCTCTCAGCTCACGAGACAGCAAGGGTTAATGTTTCTCTCTCTGTTTCTTTGACTCAGAGGTGGTAGATGAATAATTATATCACAAGAATATTTCCTCCTCCACGCACAGATGTGAGGAGTAATGACTTAATGAATTAAGCCATGTGGTGTTAGAGTGAAGAAAGCATCTGTTAGGGGCCACCTCCAAGGGGAAGGCCATGCAGTGATTGCAAAGTCAGTTCTACCCCAGAGCAGTCCAGCAGAGGTCACTGCACAGGCTCACCTGGCTCTGAGCAGAGCCCAGCACATAAGAGGAGACTGAAGATCAGTCAAAATTCCTGTCCCCTCTGAACATGGACCACTGATTCCATCCTTAAGAAACCTGCACTAACCTTCCGAGGTATCTTTACTCTCCAACTCTCTTTAAATTCGTGACCTTTCTGTTGGATCAGGCAATTCGTATCATTAGTTTATTTTTAGACATAAATGTATGTCTGTGTGACAAATAAACTTGACATCCAAAAGAGAAGGACTTGGTGATGGAGAAACACTGAGAAATTGAGCTGTTACTAATTGAGCTATTAGTAAAGGCCAAGGTCCCCCTTTCCAGATGAATAAAATCCAATTTCTCCAATCCTGGTACAAATATTTCCAGCTGGTGCTAAAAGGTGCCGATCTAAAAGAAGTTAGCATGTGTACACGGTGTGACAGGCCCAATTCGCTAGACTGGAATCAGAGAGCGAGGTTCTTGCCTCAGCTCTGCCACTCACTCACGGTGGCCTTGGCCAAGCCCCCGCCATCTCTCTGAACCAGCGTCCTCCTTCATCTGTAACATGGAGACAAGGCTAACCAATCTCAGAGGTCCTTTACAATGAAAACACCACATCGCTATATAACTTTTCTCCCCTAAAAGTTCAAAATCTTCTGTAACCTTACTTATGTAAAACGTAAACCAAGACCAAGAGATCGCCTTTATATAGAGAACCGATTGTGACAAATTTCTCAAGGTGGTCTCTTACTGTCCAGAGCTAGTTTATGGGCTTAAAGGAGCTGGTTCAAAGTATTTCTGATAATGGAAAGGTCACAGGGGTGAAAAGCCCTCCCCTCTGAGTCTTGTCAGAGTTCTTAGCATAGTACAGAACTCAGGGATTGCCACATTTCAAACAAACATTGTAAAGAGTCCTTAACCTTGTAGTCATTAAAGCACTCAGAACATTTTTTTCTTTCCTTTTTTTTTTTAAAGAACTTTTTAAAAAATATTTATTTTTGAGAGAGAGAGAGAGTGTGCGAGCTGGGGAAGGGCAGAGAGAGAGAGGGGCAGAGGATCTGAAGCAGGCTCCAGGCTCTGCACTGACAGCAGAGAGCCCGATGCAGGACTCGAACCCACAAACCGTGAGATCATGACCTGAGCCGAAGTCAGACACTTAACCAACTGAGCCACCCAGGCACCCTGGAAACATTTTTTTTCTTATGAAAGGTCGGCTCCAGTGTCAGAAAATAGATTATCTTCTGCTGATGTAAAAATCCTTTCTAATGCAGCCTGTGTCCTGAGCGGTCCCTCCGACAAATCTCCCCTTAGAATTTAACTGAGCCAGCCCCACCTGCCACTGGATGGGCAGGCACTTGCGGTTCCATTTCCTGCCCAAACAGAACTCCAGCATCCCTGGAGGCAGTCAGTCCTGGGGGGTGGGGACATTGTCGTGATGTAATATACAATGTGGATTCTCCTTGATCTGTAGGCATGAGGATGATGTTCAGCACTTCAAGGTCATGAGAGACACCAAGGGTAATTACTTCCTGTGGACAGAGAAGTTTCCATCTCTAAATAAGCTGGTGGACTACTACAGGACGACCTCCATCTCCAAACAGAAGCAGATCTTTCTGAGGGATAGAACCCGAGAGGATCAGGTACACCTCAGGCCCCGATCAGCCCAAGTCTGGAGATTTTAGGCAACATGAGTCCTATGTGACCCGTCAAGGCGATGCATTTGATGGGCATGTCCTCTGAGTATTCTGGAAGACAGAATCTCAGATCTGGAGGTCAGATCTCAGTTAAACCCTGTCTTAACACTTCCTAGCCATGTGACTTAGGAAAGTTGTCCAATCCTGAGTTTACTGATCCGTAAAACCAGAAGGTGGTGATACCTAGCCCACAGGATGGTTGTGAAGGTTGGAGAAGATAATGTATCCCCTCCCCTTAGGTCATTCCTAACAATGCTACAAACAACACTCAGCAAACATCAGCTCTTACCTGTAGATACTTTGTTATTATAAATACTACTACATCATAGCTTTCAGCCTAGCTTAGGAGTTGCCCAGAGATGAAGGCCAGGGGGCCACACACAGGGATGTTGGAGAGCAGCCTGGAGTCTAGGACTAAGGCAGTGGGGAGAGCTTTGTCACAAGAAAGGGGGTGGGGGTGTTGGAGGAAAAAAATTGACCTGGAATTCTTGCTCTTAGAACATTATGAAATATAAATATTTTAATAAATGATTTTCTTAAGTTTATTTATTTTGAGAGAGAAAGAGAGAGAGCAGGGAAGGGGCAGAGAGAGAGTGGGAGAGAGAGAATCCCAAGCAGGCTCAGGGCTGTCACCGTATGATCACAAACTGTGTGATCATGACTTGAGCTGAGGTCAAGAGTCAGATCCTTAACCAACTGAGCCACCCAGGTGCCTCTAGAGTATCATTTTAATAGAAAATGCATCAGACAAACCTAGCTTTAAATCCTGACTTCATCACTAACTGTCCTTGTTGCCTAGCCAAGTTAAAAAACCTTTCTGAGGGTCAGATTTCTCATCTGTAGAGTGGAGAGAAAAGAATACCTCCCCCCCTGGACTGTTGCAAGGATTAAATAAGACAGCATAGTGATAGCACTTGCCATAGGGTCTGGACAATAGTAAACACCAAGGAAAAGTTAAGTTGCCTCCTGTAGGTAAATTCACCGCCCCTCCCTCCCCCCGCGCGCACACACACACATTATAAAATATCTTTCAAAGGAAATGACATGGTTATAAGAAAGAGGTGTGTATTATACAAAGAAGCCTTCTCTGGAATAGTTGAAATCCCAGAAAACGAGTTATCTGAAAAGGCACTGAGACTTTCTTTTTTTTTTTTTTTTTTTTTTTTAAAAAAATTTTTTTTTTTTCAACGTTTACCCATTTTCGGGACAGAGAGAGAGCATGAACGGGGGAGGGGCAGAGAGAGAGGGAGACACAGAATCGGAAACAGGCTCCAGGCTCTGAGCCATCAGCCCAGAGCCAGACGCGGGGCTCGAACTCACGGACCGCGAGATTGTGACCTGGCTGAAGTCGGACGCTCAGCCGACTGCGCCACCCAGGCGCCCCGAGGCACTGAGACTTTCAAAGCAACACATGCCCTGGGGAAGTAGAGAAAACCATTTCAGGTAATTGGTTAATTGTAAGCTTGAGAAGTGACAGTTCTAGGAAAAAAGGGTGTTCCCAGCAAGTGCCCATAAAAGTTCAGAAAGAAAACAAAGGTTAACTAAAGACCTTGTGAGTTATTTTAATCAAGAAACAGACAGAGGTATTAATTTACTAGGATGTGCATGCAGAGTTAAAAGAGTTAGCATAAAAGTGCATTAAACTAGATTAAACGAGTTCATATTCGTAAAGCACTTAGAGGGGCGCCTGGGTGGCTCAGTCTGTTGAGCATCCAACTCTTCATTTCAGCTCAGGTCACGATCCCAGCGTCATGGGCCTGCTTGGGATTCTTTCTCTCCTCCCTCTCTGCTCCTCCCTCTGCTCAAGGGCACACACACTCTCTCTCTCTTCAAACAAATAAACTTTTTTCTTAATTAACAAAATAAATAAATAAACAAATAAGGCACTTAGAATAGCGCCTGGCATATGTGAAGCCCAGGGCCCTGTGTAATTGTTAAATAAAAATAACGAGAAAGGACCTCTGAGTCACAAGGTTATGGCCGCATTAAGCAAAAAGCCTTGCTCCTTCCCAGCATGCCCAGCGGCAGGCCTGGTTTCCATGGTGCTGCAAGAGGGTTGCTGTGTGGGTCTCTATCACCAGGCTATAAATGACAGTTAAAAATCACGCAAAGTCAATAGCAGAGCTTATCGGGAGGGCAGGCTGTCCCGTGGTGTGGCAACACGAGATAAGGAGGGGTGGCATTGTGTCAGTGAAACAGAATATTTAGCCTGATTACACAGAGAAAAACAAGCCCGCTAGGAAGGGACTGACTGGGTAGCACGTGGAAAGTGAACCAAAGGCCCGAAATCCCCAGCCTGGGAGAATCTGAGAACGTAGAGGCCACTTCTGAAACTGCGAGGGCCCGAACTGTCACCGGTTGTGTTTAGGCTGCCCGCCCCCCGCCAGCTGTTTCTTGGAGCTGTCTCTCCAGCAAAGTCTGGAAACAGCTGCCAGGACGGTGGGGTGGGGCCCGGAGATTCGGGAGGAGGATGGAACCACATCACCTTCGTGCTCTCCCAGGGTCACCGGGGCAACAGCCTGGACCGGAGGCCCCAGGGAGGCCCACACCTCAGCGGGCCCGGGGGAGAAGAAATCCGGCCGTCGATGAACCGGAAGCTGTCGGATCATCCAGCGCCCCCTCCCTCGCAGTACCCCCCGGCACCGCCACAGCAGCAGCGCTATCTACAGCACCCCCACTTTCATCAGGTACCTCCAAACAATGACGTGGGCACAGCGAGGTAGGGAAGGGGAGGCTCAGGCCACTTAGTGTGGGGAAATTCCCTACAGTGTCACGTACAACCGTCCGTGCTTGGGGGTCTGTCGTGGTCCTGGGACTGCGGGCAGGGGAGGGCCATCTGAGGCCCGGCCTCATCTGAGCCCGGGAGGGCTGACAAAGTTCATAAAGACCCGGGACCTCCCAAATGGCAGAAATATGATAACGTGATGTAGGAACTGCTCTTGGCAAAGAAGTCTCTGTGAATTCGTTGGCTCCCCGCCTGAACACACATACACACACGCACGCACGCACATTCTTACCCTGAGGATCCAGCGAACCGTTGCTCCATTTTCCTGTCAGCCCCTTAACCCATCTGGCTGTGGGGATCCACAAGAAAAGCAGTTTAACACCCACAATAGAGCCTTGCTTATTTATTTATTTATCCCCTGCCTTGTTCCAGATGGGATTTGGGGCCGCTTACCGAGACGGACAATACGGCCAGATAACCTCGTTCCTAAATTCCTCAGTAGGGCATACTAAGCCCTTTGTGAGCTGTTTCCCCAGCCTCTCTCCTGCAGACTCTCCCCAAACCTCCCCACCCCCCACCCTCCCCACTCCTGGAGCAAACACACATTCCAGCAACACTGCACTATCTTTAGTTACCGGAATGATCGATTGTGTTTTCTCTCATACCTTGGGGGCTTTTTATATGATGTTTCCTTGGCCTAAAATGCCCTCTCCTGGCTGATCCTTCTCCTCCTCTAAGCTGGAGGCCAAGTATCACCTCCTCTAGGAAGCCTTCCTTTATTACCCTGGCAGACTCAGACATTCTCTTTACACTTAAATGTGTATGGTTTCCCCTCTAAACTGACCCTCCATGAAGACAAGGACCTTTTCTTTCCAGCTACAAATCCCCGGTGATTAGGACAGTACTACACACGGGGCAGGTGCCTGATAAATATTCTTTGATTGAATGAATGAAATCTGGCATGGTCTTCACAGCCGAAGGTCCCTTTGCTATCCTTCCACCTCACCCCACCAGCTGGGGCTTATTGTCATCAGCAGCAAGTATTCTTGGAACACTGGCTGTGTCCATGGCATCTGAGCAAGGCGCGGGGTTTGGGGGGGGTTGCGGGCTGAGAGGGATGTGGTGCGGTGACAGGGTCCTCCGTTATATGTGTTTCTAGGAACGCCGGGGAACCAGCCTTGACATAAACGACGGGCACTGTGGCGTGGGCATGACCAGCGAAATGAACGCCGCCCTCATGCACCGGAGACACACAGACCCAGTTCAGCTCCAAGTGGCCGGGGTACGTGAACCTTCCCTCTCTGGGCTCAGTGAAGGTGGCAAGAGGGGCACTTAAGGAAATGGTCGGTCCTCCAGGAGAGACACGCTGCTGGGAGCTCAGAACGGAGGTGGTGGGAACCCAGCAAGTGAGGGCGGAGAGGTGTCCCCGGGGCAGAGCCGATCCCGGTCTGTCGTCGTCTGGCCGCAGGGCCTTGCCCTGTCCTGGCTCCGGCTCTAGGGGAGGGAGATCTGTCGCCTTTTTCATTGCGATCCATCTGCCTCGGTTGCGCTAGCACCGTGGGCTGTCAGCTTGGGCACGCTGCCATCCTCTCTGTCCCCTGAAGACAATAAAAAGACCACGTATCGATGTAGGGAGAGTAGTTGTCCAGGATTCTCTTGGGGCCTTGGAGAATAACATCTCCGCGGGTAAAAGTCCTGAGTCTCGGAGTTCTGATATCGTGCAGCGAGGTGTGCTTGCAGCTCCGGCGGGGCTTGGGGCGTCTCTGGAGAGCCACAAGCCAGCCTCCAGGGCAGACTGCTCACAGAGGACTCTGTCTGGCCGCAGAGCCTCCTCCGTGTGACCGTGGCTCCCAAGGCCAGCCCAGCCGCCCTGGCTCGGCAGGACCCCTCTGTGTTTCCCCGACAGCGAGTGCGGTGGGCCCGGGCGCTGTACGACTTCGAGGCCCTTGAGGACGACGAGCTGGGCTTCCGCTGCGGAGAGGTGGTGGAGGTGCTGGACAGCTCCAACCCGTCCTGGTGGACCGGCCGCCTGCACAACAAGCTCGGCCTCTTCCCCGCCAACTACGTGGCCCCCATGATGCGATGAGCCCCTTCCGGTGGGGCCCGAGGCTTTCGTCTGAAGCTGCCTGCAAGAGAGGGGGCAGGGGAGAACCGCTGGAACTACGTGTACATCCGTGTATGTGCGTGTGCACACACACGCGCCTATGTGTATGTGCATTCGATAATAGTAATTTATTGGCGATGCGGTCGGTTCATTAGTTGATATGAAAGGAAGTCAGGTGGAGAATTCTATTCGTACTTCTTTTTCTGCTCTCCCCTCAGCGGGTGTGTGGAAGGCAGGGGGAAAGTTGGGGTGGGGGTGGGGCAGAGACATGAAACCGAAGTTCTTCCTGTCCTTAAGATGGCACCGCTTCCTCCTGGTCTTGGGACTTTCACTGAGACTAGCTGAGCAGAGATCCACATCCCAGCGTTGGACGCAGAACAACAGGGTGGAGCCGGACTCGGTGGGGCCACGTTTCGGCTTTCCCTCCGAGCCCCGCTCCCCTTGAGGTTTTGCAGGGCAACGTCCCTCCTGTGCGACCAGGGTGGGCACTGCTGGGTTGAGACCAGAGGAGCAGCCACACGGGACTGGAGCAGCGGGTGCCTGGAAGCCTGGGCGAGGCTGGCCTCCTGCCCCGTGCTCAGCGGAGACCTTCGCCTCCCTCGCCGGAGTGCTCCTCAGCCCTGAGAAACAGAGACCGTGAGGAGCCCAGCACTGGCAAATGGCGGGTTTTTCACAAATCCCCAGTGGCTTGCTTGGGTGTCACCTCTGTTTCCCAGAAAGCAGCATCTGACATTCTGTAAAGTGCTCGGAGAAGCCCTGGCTGAGAATGCGGGACTTTAAAGCCATTGTTTTACAACTCCCAGGGTGTCTCTTTGGGTCTCTATTGGTTTTCCGTTGTCCTGAGGATGCTTTGCCCAGTGGCAGAGAGGGAAGCCCACTCCACAAGAGCATTGACTAGCAATTGTTGATTGGTTGATTGATTGACTGAACTTGACCCTGGGAGGGAGCCGGCTTTGACGGGAGCTTCCTGTTGGATCTGGCCGTAGAGTCATTGCTGGCATCCTCTCTCCAGCCTCGACCCAAGAGCTGCACCTGGGGAGAGGGACCCCATTGCCCCTGTCTCTCCTGCCACCTCAAAATAGAATTATGTTTCCTTGGGCTCAGCTGGGGGGTGTGGAGCACAGGCTGGCCTGGCTGGGGAGAAGGGACCCTGGAGAAGGAAACAGCGTTTTGGTGGAACCTGGGAGCAAACACGTCTGCGCCGAGAGACCTGAGAAGAGGGTGTGTGTGTGTGATGAGGCCTAAGTGACAGGCTGGGTGCACGTGTTGGTGAGGGAGAATGATGGGGGGTGAGGTGTGCCTGCTCCTTTGTCTTCTTCCCCAGCCCTTCTTGCTCTAAGGAGTGACGGGGGCAGCCGTTATCGAGGGTGAAAGGAGAAGAAAGAGTGTCTGGCTCAGAAGCAACTGTCGGGGTAACATAGGCTGCGTCCCTTTGACTCTGAATGCTACGATTCTGTGATCCCTCTGTTGTCTTTAGAGAAAAGGGGGAAAAGAAGGCACTCCACGGCGAGTCTTGGGAGGGAAGAGAAAATAGCCTGAGAGAGGCAGGGGGAGTCAGGTGACGGTAAGGAACATCTGGCTCGCAGCCTTTAGAAATCGAAGAACAGAAAGGAAAAGGTAGCAGAGATGTTTCAAAAGATCAAGGAGCAGCGTGAGACACAAAGGGAGGGAAAGGGAGCAAGATGGTAAGTGGGACAGGCGAGGAAGACGTTGGAGTAGAGTCAGCAGGCCGGCCTGCGGCTGACAACCAGGGGAAGGAGGGATCCAGCAGGTGGGGAAGGAGGAGTTACAGCAGAGCCGTGAACACCACGGAAGGCAGGGAGCAAGACACCACAGGAACGAAGAGGAACGAACAGGGAGAAAGAAAAGCAAGGCAGAGAAGACCTAAAAGCTATTTTGGTGCTAGGTAATGTGAACATGTTACAGTAAATAAAAGCCAAAAGTGATGTTTGGTTTTACAGTATTTACAAACCATATGCTTTAAACAGCCCACAGACCTCATCCATTTGTCTGATTATGTGGGAGGACCAGCCCCAGTGAAGGGAGAGGGAGCTGATTTGGTTCTGGCCTGGATTTTGTGCCTTGAAACACGTCTCGAGAAAGCAGTGATACGCCCAGGGCCCTTGTTTGGCCAGGCTGTGTCCCGTGTCTGTGTCACACTCCCCTCCAGGGGCAGGGGTCACTGGCCTGCAGAGGTTGACCGCACAGTGCGGGCAGGGCTTCCAGAACCCCTGGAACTGGATGTTCTGCTCCCCCCGCCCCGCCCGAGTCTTTAATTGAGGTGCTAAAACAGCCTTGCCCCTGCACATCACGTGGCTCAATGCAGAAGGAAGCAAGAATCATCCTAACCACCCACAGGGAGCTAAGGCCCTTAGGGACCAGGCTAAGAGGACAAGGACCAAACTATCCATATGGGGGGGGGGGGGTTGGGAAGCAATGTCCCTGGGCCTCTGGTGCTGCCTGGAGGAACGCATGAGGAGCTGCTCTCTACCTGAGTCCACTCGGCCCTCCTTCCAGCCACAACACAATCAGGGAAACAGCACCTTGTCTGTGACTTCAGCTGAAATGCTCTGCATGACCTGGGGGCAGGGAGCTTCCAGAGAAAGTCTAGATCTGGCTGAACCAGTTCGGTTTTCCTAACGCCCTGCTGAGGCTCGCTGCATGTCAGATGTCTGGTACCTGCCACTGCCCACCCACTTTCAGATGGCCTTAGGCATCTGATCTGAGGCAGCGCTTCTCAAAATTAATGTGCCGGTGAGTTGCCCAGGGAATGCGGTAAAATGTAGGTTCTGATTCAACCCTGCGTTTCTACCAAGCTCTGAGGTGATGTTACTCCGTCCACGGACCATACTTTAAGTAGCAAGAGCAAAGAACTTCGCAGCTAAAAAGCTACAAAAATCTAATTAGATCCCTTTTCTCGGGATATTCGGGCACTTCTCTGTGTTGCTCACAAATAAGTCACTCTGAGCAGAGACAGGACTCAGAACTGTCATTATGACGTCATTCCTATTTGATGGCCGGGTGACTTTTGTCAGCATCTTCATCTCTACCAAGAATCAAGCAACTTTAGGGTGAGAGGCATCCAGATGAAATACAAACAGGGGTTGCCCAGTAGTGATTATTTTAAAGAGAAGCAGAGGTTACAGAAGTTGTGAAACGTCTTTCTCAGGATTCTTTGAACATAAAATGGACTCGCATCAGGTGTGGTCCTGCTCGGAGGCAGGGGGATGGCCCATGTGACGGGGGCACTGTCAGATCTCATTCACCCAAAGCGAAACAGGTCACAGTGGGCACTGATTGGCATGAGCAAATACTTGCTGTTTGCCTTGTCTAAAGTTAACTCTTCAGCCTGTGTAGACCAAAACAAGGTCACAAGAAAAATTTTTGTCTCGATCCTACTCAGGGTCCTCCACGTCTCTCCCAACACCACAGCTGTGCCACCATCACCTCTCCCTTAGGCAACTGAATAAGCCTTGACACGTTTCTCCCTGCATACTCTCTCATCCCCAGTCCATTCACACAGATGCCAGAGTGATCTTTGTAAAACACAAGTCTGATCACGTCACTCCCCTGCCACTGTGCTTAAATTTGAATCCAAGTCCTGATGTGGCCCCGTGAGGTCTCTCATTGCCTCCCTCTCCAGCCTCCTCTGCACCCCTCCCCTCCTGGCTGCCATGCCTCCACCCACTGGCCTTCTCTCAGCCTCCAGATGCCCAAAGATCGGTCCCCAAAGCCTTCATACCTCTTGTTCCCTCTTCAGCTTAAACGTCACTTTCTCAAATTGTCCTTTCTTGGCCTTAATCTAAAAGAACCCTTCCTATTGGATTATCTTGAGGTTGCTGGTGCTTTCCCTGATTAGCACATATACCAGTCTGTTGGACTATTGGACTGTAAGCTCCCTGGGGGCAGGGATCATCTCTGTTTTGTAAACCACTGTAGGTACAGCATGTAGCACTGTGCTTGGCACACAGAAGGCTCAACAAGTATTTGTTTCATGAATGAGCAAGTGAAACCTGCCTCATGTCACCTAGCATTCATTCTATAACCCAAAGGTCCTGGGCCTTATGGACCTGTAGGTGCAAACAAAGTGATATTCACATTGATGCCCAAGTTACAGTAGCTTTTAGCCAACGGCCCTCAATATCTCCAGTTACTTCCTAGAGTCCAAGGGAGGGAGGCTGGTATCTCTCATGTGTTTAAGCATCGTCAGCTAATGTCTCCTACTCTGGCCATGTTCCGTTGTCCCTGAACATCTTCTGCAGAAAGTGTCTTTCCTGATGCTGCCAACCTACTGTGCACCTGTCTGCTGATGAAATGGCCCAGTCCTTCAGGAAACCAAATCTGCCCTGCAGTCCACGTGGCAAGGCAGTCATGGAAGAGGAAGCGTGGAGAATGGCCTGTACCTACTTCTGAGTAGCCCTTGTCCCTGACCCCCAGAGAGGCACTTCCTAGGTCAAGGGACCCTCACAGCTCATTCCCTTCTCACCAGAGCCCTCTCTCCATCACACAGGACAAAGGAAGCCACCTTCCCCACCATCTCTCTTGTTTGCCTCTCTCCCTATTGCCCCTTCCTCCTCCAGCTGAAAAGAAACGCATTTGTACCTGTTTGTGCAATAGATATCACCTAGGATGCCAGGGGACATGTACCCTGTTGTACAATCTGGGCTCAGCTCTGATTCACTCATTAAACCAACAACTATTTATGAAGCATCTCGTAGGGGACAGACACAATCACCCAGTGGGTCCTCCACATCTCTTTACACTGCCCTCTGTCCACATCTGTGCCACAGTCACTGCCTCATTTCAATCCTCTCTTGCTTCTCTCCCAGGCAACTGTAGTAGTTTCAGAACCGGTCTCTCCACCTCTGGGTTGGCCCCCTCTAATCCAGCCCACTGACTACCACTGAGATCGTATTAACATGCAAACTTGATGACATCAGGCTTCTGTTCAAAAGCCTCCAGAGGCTCCCATTAGCTTTCAGGCTAGAGTTTAAACTCCTTGGCTTGGCACTAATGACATTTTGTGATCTGACTGCTGCCTGTTTGTTTAGCCACAATGCCCATCTCCCCT